TCTCCCTCTGCCTCTGCCTCTCCCTCTCCCTCTCCCTCTCCCTCTTTCTCTCTCCCCCTCCCTCTCTTCATTCTGTTACTATAGAGAGCCTTATTTAATGTAAACATCAAAATATAACATTCACAGTGAATTTCTATAAAATTATCCTGTATCCATCTCACTATGAAAAATGGCCAAAATTCCTGCTTAGTGTTTAGTTTGGTCTTTTCATGGTTTTATAACAAAATACCTAAGATTGTGTAATCTGTAAACAAACAATAGCAATGTATGTCTCACAGTTCTGGATACTGGGGAAACCCAGATGAAGTTGACGGAGTTGATATCCAATGAGGGCTGCTCTCTGCTTCCAAGATGCCACCTTACTGCTATGTCTTCATGTGGTGGAAGGTAAAGGGACTTCACTAGTTCTCTCCAGGACTTTTGTTTTGTTGTGTTTCTTGCCATACTAGTGATTGAACTTAGGGTTTCTTGCATGCTAGGCAAGCATTCTGTCACTACTACTGAGCTCCCTACCTAGTCCTAGGTTTTTTCTTTTGAAAAAAACCTTTTGAGACAGGGCCTTGCCAAATTACCCTAGGTAGCATCAAACTTGCAATTCTATTCCTCAGTCTCCTGCGTGGCTGGGACTACAGGCATGTGTCACAGTGCCTGGCCCTCAGGACTTTTATAAAGCACTAATCCCATCCATACACAAGGGAACAGCCTTTACAGCCTAAGCACTTCCTACAGATCCAAGTTCTTAATATTGCCACATTGGGAAAGAAGTTTCATCATGTATTTTGGAAAGAATGCATACATTCGAACCGTATGTAGGCACGGTCTCTGTTTTGGTTCTTCTTATCTGTATTGTCCAAATCTTACTGATTCTCCATGTCTCATTTCTGTTCTTATTCTATGTCCCTCTGTACTTACATGTTCTGTTTCTGCTGCCACAAATTACCATAAACTCAGTGCCTTCAAACAATACAAATTTATCATTTTATTCTTCTAAAGGATCGTCTAAGATGGGTGCCAGTAGAGCTGGGTTTCATCTGAGAGCTCCAGGAGAGAACCTCCTTGGATTCCAGAAATAACCCTTTGCTTCTGGTAAGTTATAATGTCCAAAACTGTTTCTAGGTACTGTGAAATCTCCAGTGAGGTAAAATCACTCTCAGTTGAAGTGACTATTGTAGACCAATAATTACAGTCTTATTCTCCTTTATCAAGTGAGCAATTTAGAGAAGGGCATGTGATGCAGTTATGACAAAATAGGAACAGAAGTCCAGGGGATGCAAAGAGAAGTGAGAGTTTTTCCTTTCTGCCTGAGATACTGATGTGTGTTGACTTAGTTCTTTACTTTTTTCCTAATGGTAAAGATTGCTTCACTTGTGGCAGTCAAGACCAGTCAATGTTATTAACTCCCAAAAAAGAACTCCTATTTTTTTTTTATCAGATTGCTGGCCCACAGAAATTTGAATGAAGCTGAAGTAGGTGGCTTCTGGGGTGACTGAAATTAATCCCACTCCTTGGGAAATGAAGCCATAGCCAGCTGATACTTAGCACATGCTGTTCCTCCAAGTGCTAGATGATGGGCATGTTCTTCAGGAGGGAATTGGTTATCACACCTCTTCGATGAACTGGAATCCCATTAGCCTCTTGAAACAGCTTTTGTTTCTCTGGAAGTTTATTTTCAAAATATCTGCTTAAAGCAGGGCTTCTAGTCTCCTGGGAAATCTGATAAAGAGCCAGCAGGTTCTACAACATCTTGGCACAGTTACTGTAGCCTTTATTCTTGAGACTACGTATGAAAGAGCAGAATGAAAAGAATAGCTCAGGTCCCAGGTAAGCTACTAAATCAGCCATGGGACTGACTACCTGAGGACACTAGATAAACAAAACTGTCCTCTGTGTTTAAGACATTTTGTTAGGGATTTTGTTGTTTGTGTCGCAAAGCATTCTAACTGACAGGGTTGTAGTGTGAGAGGGCTAGAAATTAAACATTTCCCTCCTTCTTGCAATGTACACAAATGGTGCAATGTTAGAGAGCTATAGGTGTTTAAAATAAACATGTATAACTATTCTAAATGCTACCCAGTGTCAGTGCTGAGGAACAGAAAATATGTGTTCATGAATGCTATGTGCTTAAGAAAAAATTTAATAAAAATTTTTAGAACTAGAGCTCAAGTACCAAATGGAACCACAACTAAGATGGAATGGAAGATTGCAGGATTGAGAAAATAATTCAAGGATCAAAACTAATACCACTGTTAAGTAATAAATTAATGTAAACAGTGAGAGACAGCAGGGACATGAGTAAAATGTAATTTCCAACACAGAAGCAAGCCTAGTTAATCATTACAGTAGCAAAGGAAAAGAATGCCAAAGTTAAAGCAATTAGAAGTTAGTCACTGTGGAGGACAACATTATACAACATAAGACTGATTGTTGTCCCCGAAAGAGTAATCCTTAAAAATGGAGCAAAAAGGAAGATACTAAGAGGAATTTACTCTGACCATTGAAGGGCCTGTCTCACTCTAGAAAAAGTCATTGAACTAAAGAAAGAAACACATCAAAAGACATTAAATTTTAAAGTTTAAAGAATGTTCTTCAAACATCCACACATAAATGGAAAGTCATATTTTAAAAAATTGTATTTTAACATCCCAACAATATTCAATGTAGATGATGCCAGGAAAGTTACAAAATGTGACATTGGAATACTCCACAGCCACGTTGTTCATATATATACATGCCTAAGTATTAAAGAACTCAGGGAGCACAGCAACCAAGAAATCCTAAAATCAAGCCACTTTCAACAAAACCCATATACCAGTGAAGTTTAATTACAGACAAAGCACCGGATGTGGTAGCACACACCTGTAATCCCAGCACTCAGTAGGCTGAGGCAGGAGGATCATTTGAAGCTCAAACTAGCCTGGGCTATTTAGTGAGCTGAAGAATAATCTGAACTACCTAATGAAACCTTGTCTCAATTCTGCATAAAAGGAAAAAAGAAAAACTACAGAGCAATATGTCACATGAATATAGTGACAAAAGCCCGCAACAAAGTATTTTTAAACATACATAAACCAAATTCAGAAGTATATCCAAGCAGTTATATATTATGGCCAATTAGGATTTACTCCAAGAATTTGTTTGGCTCAATATGTAAAAATCTATCAATGTGAGAAAAAATAAATCGAAAAAGCAAATAAAAATCAGATAATCACTTCAATACTGATAAAAATGTTCAACAAACTGGATAGTAAAGGATATTTTCTCAGTCTCTTTAGATACATCCTCATTGAATGGTAAAAGACTTGAAGCTTTTCTCCTAAGATCAGAAGGAAGATGAGGATACCTGTTTATTTCTGCCACTTTTATTCAATATTGTACTATATTCAGGGCTATTAGACAAAAAAGGACACATATATTAGAAATTTACCTCTACTTTGAAATAACATAATTATGTATATAGAAAATACCAAGGAACCCATCAAATCCTTTAAAACTGACATGTGAATTAATTTGCCAATGTTTTAGGATACTAGATCAGTGTACACGTATCAATTTATATTTCTAAATACAAGCAGTGAACAATCAGAACATCAAACTGTGAAAACAACTGTATCAGGGTAGAATGAAAAATAAAATATACAGAAAACTTTAAATAGAATTTATCGGGCTGGTGAGATGGCTCAGTGGTCTAAAGCACCTACTTAGAACAAGCTTAGCAAAGCACAGGAACTGCGGTTCAATCCCCCAGCACCACATGCCAGCCAGCCCTGCCCCCTGGTGGGCTGAGCTTGACACCCACATCCACACACACACACATAAATAAATAAAATTTTAAAAATAAATAAATAAATAGAATTTATCTTTAAATGCTGGAAGGATTTATGTCTCTCTTCTTTTTCTTTTTCTTTTCTTTTTTTTTTTTTTGGACTGGGGATCAAACTTGGGACCTTGCACTTGCCAGGCAGGTGCATATACCGCTGAGCCAGCTCTCTGGCCATAGAATTTAAAGAGAACCTAAATAATGTGAAGACATTTATTTTCATAGATTGAGAGAATTATATTTATTTATGTCTCATACTGGGAAACCCAGGGTCTCACTCATTCCAGGTAAGCCCTCTACTGCTAAGCTATATCCCAAGATCTTTTTACTTTGAAACAGAATCGCACTAAGTTGCATAGGCAGGCCTCAAAATTGTAATTCTCCTACCTTAGTGTTCCTAGTGACTGGAATTATACACATAGGCCACCACACCCAGAAAAGTAAATGCCATTAAATGTCAGCATTCCTCAAATTTACTAGCACATTCAGTGTAGTCTCTACCAGAATTCCAGTCGTTTTTCTTTTTCTAGAAACTGACAAGCTGCTCCTAAGAGTCACATGGAATAAGGCACCCAGAACAATAAAAGCAGTCTTTTTCCCCCTAAAAAGCAATCTTGAAAATATTGATAAAGGAACTAACATCATTCTCCCCTCAAACTCCATCTGTTTCTCAGGTTAGACTCAAATTTCCGGGCACAAGTGATGCTCCTGTCTCAGCCTCACCAAAACATACAGATAGAAATATAAATGAATGGAATTCAACTAAGAATCCAGAAGTAGGGCCGGCGAGATAGCTCAGCAGTCTAAAGTGCCTGCTTATGCAAGCTTAGGCAACAGAAGGGACCGTGATTTGTTTGATCCCTGGCACCACATGCTGTGCCAACCCCACCACCAGGGCAGGCTGAGCCAGCCACAAAAAAAATTTAAAAATCCAGAAGTAAACTCTTATAGTTACAGTCATCTGATTTTTGTCAAGGAGCCAAAATGGTTCAATTGGAAGAAAAATAATCTTTTCAATAAATGGGGCTGAGACAACTAGATATCCCCATGCAAAAGTATATTGGACTGCTTGCCTCACAAACATGCAAAAGTTGATGAAGGACAAAGTTGATCAAAGACATAGCTATAAAGGGAAAAAACAAGGTGCATGCCTATATACCCAACACTGGGAGGTGAGGCGGGCAAACCGCAACTTAATGAGTTAGCAAGAACTTGTCTCAAAATATTTTAAAATGATGGGGATGTAGCTTAGTGCAAAGGTCCTGGGTTCAATCCTTGGTACTGAAGATAAAAAGTGAAAACAGTAAAATACTTAGAAGAAAATATGGGGTATTTATTTCTTTTGATCAGGCAATGGTTACCTAAAAATGCCACCTAAGAACCAAAGAACAATCTTATAGATTGGACCTTAGTAAAAACATTTGTGTTTGAATGTCAAGAAAATAAAACAGCAATTGGAGAAACCACAGAATTGAGAAAATATTTACAAGTCATATATCTGATAAGAGACTAGTACTCAGAATATATAAAGGACACTTTGAATTAAACAATAAAAACACCATCCAATTATAGCAGGGGCAGTGGATTTGGATGTATTTTTTCCAGAGAAGTTACACAAATGACCAGTCAGCACATGAAAATATGCCCAACATCATTAGCTATTATAAAACACAAATAAAATACAAAGACATACAAAACACATTGAGCCACAACTTCATACCCACTAGAATTACTAAAACAAAAATGATAATACAGATAATGTTGTTAATACACAATGGGATCATCATGAAATCACTTGGGGAATGTGAAATGGTACAGCCACCCTGGAAAACTGTTTAGCACTGTCACAATAGGCTAAAAATATGGTTATCCTATGACGTGGTCCTTCCATTCCTAGATATATACCTGCTCTAGTTTGGATACTGAATACCTCACTGAGGTCCATGTGTTAAAATCTTAATCCCCAGAGTGGATGCTATTGAGAGTTTATGAAATCTTTAGGAAGGAAGTTTTTGTGGGAGGCCCTTAGATTGAGCCAGGAAGGATGTGGGGCTCTGCCCTCCATGGGGAGAAGCCAGAATGACTGTGTGTGGCTTCTGGTGGTGGCTGGGTCTTGAAGAGCTAGCATTAAGTCCAGAAGACTACTTGAACCCTCTCATTCCTCTGCCTTGTTTCCTTCAATAGCACAGAACTCGGTGGTATTTGCTTTCCTCATATGCGAACATGAACAAGGAACTGGTCAGTTAGGATAGTTGCCCCAGCACAGGCTGTAGAGACTCCATGGGGCCTCTGGAGCAGGGAGTCACCTCACAAACCACAGGCCATAAAGCTAATCAGATGAAACCTCAATGACCCAGGGTGGGAATTTCTCGACTGACAATAGCCATGTGGGGGGCACCATTGACTGGTCATGAGCAGGCAAAGGAGGGTAGGACACAGCACGCGTACACAAACATCTTTTTTTTTAAAATTTATTTATTTATTTATTCATTTTGTGTGTGTGTGGCCAGTTCAGCCCACTAGGGGGTGGGGCTGGCTGGCATGTGGTGCTGGGGATTGAACCGAGGTCCTTGTGCTTTTGCTTAACTTAGTTTGTTCTAAGTAGGTGCTTCAGACCACTGAGCCATCTCACCAGCCCGCGTACACAAACATCTGAGGATGGAAACAGACTAGGCCTCAGCACTGGCTCACTGTCCCTCCCAACTGACTACTGGTTTGTAAGACTGCTGACCCTGGAAATGAACCACCAACTCAAAAACCAAGGAGATTGTGGAAAACCTTTCTATTTTTAATTGGTTCTTTGGGGTACAAAGTTTTTTTTTGTTTGTTTATTTTTTCTTTTAAACTTTTTTATTTTGCCCCCCATTTTTCTCATTATTTTCCATTATTTTCATCTGATTCTATTAATTTCCTTTTATTCTTTTTTTATTTATTTAGTACAGGATACAGGGTCTACAGGGTCTCACTACATAAATTGGAGTCTCAATGATCCTCCTGCTTTCAGCCTCCCAAGTGCTGGGATTACAGGTGCAAGCCACCACACCAAGTCTTTCTTTTATTCTTTAATAGCATCCTTTTTCTTACTTTTCTCTCATCTTTTTCAACTTTCCTTTCTTTGTTCTCCAAATTTTACTCTTTCATTTCTACATTCCCTGCCTTCTCTATCTTTGGCTATATAACCATTAAGCCTTATCAATCTTTAGATATTTGATTTTTATTTTACTGTTGAATCCTCTAGTACTGTTAGTGGAGAGTATAATGTTATATTTAGTAAACATATCTTGTATCAATATTTGCTTTGTCTTAGTACTTATACTAAATTATGGATCCTATTTCATTGCTACTTCCAGTATTCACTACCCAGTTTGGCTTTGATATTATTATTGTTGTTAAAGGCATTAGTAGTGCCAGGGTGGGATTGTTATTAATCAGTTTTCTCTGTATGACAATATCTGGGTTGCCTTTGTGTCAGGAGCAATGCCTGCTCCACACCCAGAGCATTGGATGCTGGGCTAACTCCACAGCGTTCTCCTTTTCCAAATTAATAGAGATGGTTGGATTGTGGATCAGAGGCAATAGTATACAGTTAGCCAGACCAGCTAGTACACTGAAGAGCAGGAACTAACTAACAGGATCTGCATGCCAGCATAAAGTTTTTCTAGTAAAATCAACCAACAAACTGAAGCACATACACTAAAACATATAGATAAAATAAAACAAGAAAAACAAGAGAAGATAGGTAACAAAATATCTCCAAAAACTCTTATCTACCACAAAACTGATCCATTGGACATCAGTGGTGATGAATTCAAAAGCCATATAGCTGAATTATTCAAAACAACTAAAAAGGAAATAAGAAAACCCCCAAGAACTCACAGAAGATATAACTAAACAGGTAATAGAACTAAAGACCACACAATCAATGAGCTCATAAAAGAAATAATAAAAATGTAGCTGAGCTAAATAAAATTTTGTACAACATGAGTGCCCAGGGTAGCAAAGATTTAAGGTCCATAGAAAGAAATCAAACAGAAATCCATGAGATTAAAGATGCTCTTTAAAGAAAATGCTCTTGAAAGTAAGGGCAAAAGAACTGACTGATGTGAGGAAAAAAGTGTCCGAACAGGCAGACAGCACTGATGCTGGTGACCATTCACACAGAGATATCCTAAAAACAATAGGAGAGCATAAAAATGGATCCCACAGCTCCTAGATGATGCAAAGAATAACCTAAAATGAATTGTAATTAATGAAAAAATCAGAAAGACAGCCCGTGTGGAATACAAACCTGCTTGAAGAAGTAATAGCAGGGTCCTTTGCAAACAAGGGGAACATTAATATACAGATAAGTGAGGAATATAAAAGAGCTACTATCAGAAGAAAATTTCTTGATGATGTGTCATCATCAGGTTCTCAGGAGCTCAGCACAAGAACAGAATCTTAAGAACTGTTAGATAAGCACAAGCAATCCCTTACAAAGGAAAATTATTAGAATGACAACCGACTTCTTCACATACATCTTAAGGGCCAG